ATTCCCTTAATCATCTTTGTGGCTCTGCGCTGGACTCTCTCCAGCAGTTCTCTGTCCCTCTTGAACTGAGGGGCCCAGAACTGGACACAATATTCCAGATGTCTTCACATTCACACTGACAGCGTTTTTTCATCCATGCTCCAGCAAGAGAACGCAGCAGAAGCAGCGTTTAATGCCAAGCTGCTCCGGCTTGCTGGCACACTTGGCGTTTCCCAGTGGCTTTGCTGCTGGAAAACTGGCCTCAGCGCAGTTCTCACACTTCTGTTTCCCCCTCCTTTAGAAATTGTCCGAGCGATGACGCACGTGATCAACCAAGGCATGGCGATGTACTGGGGCACGTCGCGCTGGAGCGCCATGGAGATCATGGTAAAGGGGGGCTGTAGGGACGCGGTGGCGCTTGGTCCTTTTGCTCCCAGGCTGCAGGGTGCCGGGAGCCGAGCCGTGACCGAGGGCTGTTCGTGTTTTACTCCATCCAGCAGCTTTTCACCTAAAATAATTGTAAACCCTGCTCCAGAATGAGCCCAGTGTCGATCAGGAGAAGAGGGGCTGATGTAGAGGTTTGGGTGCTTGGCTCGTTTAACTGGGGTTTGTTTGGCTGGCTCCGAGGTTTTTGGTAAAGCGCCTCTTTGATGTCCGTGCTCATGGCCACTGATGCTCCGTGGCTCCTGGCAGCAGCTCCCATCCCTGGAAACATTCACGGTCAGGCTGGACGGGGCTCTGAGCAGCCTGATCTGGCTGAAGGTGTCTCTGCCCATTGCTGGGGGGTTGGACCAGATGACCTCGAAAGGTCCCTTCCAACCCAAGCCATTGACTTTAGGCCATGCCAGGAGCATCCTGCTGGTCCCTGCTGCTTGTGGCGGGGGCAAAACCCAAGAAAGGAGCTTGGCACCCCCCTTCCAGCTGGGATGCTGCTCGGCTGGCGGCTGCGCTGGCGCTGGAGCAGCTTTGGGCTGGAGGTGGCAGAAGGGACAGTGACACTTGAGTTCATCCTGTACCCTCGGGGAGCGTTGGCTGGTAGGTTCTCTCCTGTGAGATGCTTTTACTTGATGAAATATTTTATCTCTTGATTTCTGTTCTCCAGGAAGCCTACTCCGTAGCCAGGCAGTTCAACATGATACCGCCCGTGTGCGAGCAAGCCGAATACCATCTTTTCCAAAGAGAGAAAGTGGAGGTTCAGCTGCCGGAATTATATCACAAAATAGGTGAGGCTGAGCCCGCCGTGCCTTTCGGCTATTCCGTTTGCAGAAAGCAATTCCGAGGAGGCTGCCCTGGGGCTCGGGGTGGGAGCAGTGTCGTCCCTCTCTGCATCTGAAGGGGAGAGATGAGCATCTATCTAATGACCTAAAAGAAAAAACACTTCCTGTGGCTCTGAAAAAAAAATAGGTGTAATTGCCATGGCTTCCTCCTAACCCTTGGACACTCCCGTGGACTGGGTGGGTGGCACCTCTCTGGTGCCAGCGCAGGAGGAAATTGCAATATTGCAATCGCAACAAGGTTCTGGATGAGTAAGATCGTCAGTGACTTCCAGGCAGATGCTGTGGGCATCCCTTAGGGCATCTGCCCGGAAAACACCGACTGAAGGTCACTGCCAGCAGCAATTGCTTTGCTTTTATTGTTTGAACTGAAAGTCCTATTTTTGACACTACTCTGATTTCTCCCAGTCCCCTCGAATCTCCTTCTCTGTGTTCTCTGCAGGGGTGGGAGCCATGACCTGGTCCCCACTAGCCTGTGGGATCATCTCAGGGAAATACGGCAACGGGGTCCCTGAAAGCTCAAGGGCTGCACTGAAGGTTTGTTGGGGGTTTTGGGGGGTTTTTTTGTTTTTTTGGGTTTTGTGGGGTTTTTTTGTTGTATGTTTGAGGAAAATAGGTGTGCTGCTTTTGCGAGGAAAATAACAAAGGGAAACCAGAACGTTCCTGCGCAGTGCTGCTGTATCGATAGATCAGCTCGGTTTCTCTGGCAACCACGCTCAAAAGTGTGGGAGAATCTGGGCTATGAGGATGCTCCGGGTTCCCCACGGCAGTGCTGTGAGCTGGCTGTGGGGCAGCAGGACTGGAGCCGGGCTCTGCAGAGGGATGCTGTCACCTCCCTTACCTTGCCATCGTCACCGAGAAGGCACAAGCTCAGGGTTTGTGTTGTGCTGGATGCTCGCAGCTGGTGCTAATCGATACAGCTGCTGGGGCTTCCAAACAAACAAACAAAAAAATATTGTGCCAGTGGCAGGTGTATTATTTAATGGTTTGAAAAATGGTAGAGCATTAAAATGTCATGGATTTGGGAAAACCTCAACCAAAGCAGTATCTGAGGGGGCAAAAGCCAATGCCACCCGATATGTGCCAGCGGGCTGAGGTACATCCCTGTGCAGGTCTTTGCTCAACTTGGTGCTTTTTAAAGGAAAGATGCGGTCTGCACGGATGGGCTTGCGAAGGGCAGCACCTTCAGATGTGGCATTTCCCTGCATTTGGGATTTTTTTCCAAAATGAAAGATATCATTAACATGTGGCCAAAGCTAGCTAAGAAGGTGGCAGTGCACAGAGGGACCCAAATTAAATTGATGAGCATGAAGCAGAATCAAGTTTCGAGCCTGGAGCTGGGAGAACTGAAATCTCAGCTTCGCTTAATTAATTTTCTAATGTTGAATAGTAATAGTAAGGCTTGAACAAGATCAGATGTTCTCAATATTATTTTTTTTTTAGGGGGATGGAATATCCAAATCTTTTCAAGTTTAATAATATTTCACTTTTTTCTGTTCTGTAATGGGATCCAGTTGTCCAAAAAAAAACCTGAGGAGGTTCCATGGTCCAGACCGAGTCCATCAGTTGCATAAAGCCAGAGAGAGACAGAGATGTAGGTGCTCACAGGAGACACCCTGCTCTGGTTGTAACCACTTTGGGCAGCAAAGCGTTGGGTTACAGAGCCCCGGTCCCCCCCCGGGCTGGGTAGGGGTTTATACGAGCTGTTCACAGCTGCCTTGAACGTTCCGCTGTGGAAGGTGGAAGCTAAGAGTCAATTGCAATGTGTCACCTCCAGTGCTACCAGTGGCTGAAGGAGAAGATCATAAGCGAGGAAGGCAGGAAGCAGCAGGGGAAGCTGAAGGACCTGTCGCCCATCGCCGAGCGCCTGGGCTGCACGCTGCCGCAGCTGGCCGTCGGTATGCGATGGGACGGGGGCAGCGACGGGTGGGTCAATGGTAACACAGAAGATGTCGTGTCTTTCCAACAGGGCAAAAGATGGTTTTGTCTTTGTGTGTATCTATAGATCTACACTTTTTTTAATTGAAAACATTTAAATGATTATTTGCTATCAGGAATGATGGAGCAAAATGACAACGAATCCTGAAAACGAGACTGAGCTGACCTGTGAGTCTGAAGTAGAGCTGGAGCGTATGCACAGGCACCAGACAATGCTGCTACTTAAAAAAAAATTTTTTTTTAAATAATTGTCTTTGTGCTGCTGAGAGACAAAGCTGAAAAATACCACACACATCTGCTGTTAGAAAAATGATCCCTGGTTCGAGCAGTCGAGAGGTGAATCCCTGTGAGAGGGAAAAACCAAACCCCGCAGCTCAGAGAACCGCTGGACCGGGGATGGGGTGCTGGAAGACCTGCGCGATGGTTTGTTAACTGAGCTGTGCTTCTTCCTCCTGGCTGGAGGAGTGAAGCAAAGGCTGAGATAAATGATGTTGTGGCCATTTTTCAAATCGAGCTGGAAGCTCTGAGAAGCACTGGGATCTGGGGCAATGCCACGTGGTGAAGCCCATGTTCCTGACCCTCTTGTGACTTTATTCCCAGCGTGGTGCCTGAGAAACGAGGGGGTGAGCTCCGTCCTGCTGGGATCTTCCAACCCCGAGCAGCTGATCGAGAACCTCGGAGCCATACAGGTGAGTGCAGGGGGTGGCACCAGCATACCTCCAGACCAGCACCCTCCTTCTCTTCATAGAGCTTTAATAGTTCCTCTGCTGTTGTGGGCATCTTCCAGCTCCCGTTCGGCAGGTGAATTAGGCAAACCTCCGGTGCAGCACCATGATTGATCACTTTTTGTGGCAGTCACAGCCACACCCAGCACCAAGAGGGTGGCCCCAGCGGGTGTGATGTGTCTGGAAAAGCAAATGACCTGATTCTAGGAGGTGGTGTGATCTATTCCGTGCTGAGCCTCCCGCAGGGCACATGTCGCTTGCACCCCCCTTCGTTATTCTCTGTTGCTTTTCACAAACAAAATCTTACTCTGATGTTCTTGCGACTAGTTCGCTTCCCGCTGCAGCCGAGCAGTATTGTGCCTGGAGAGTTGAGGAGCTCTTCCCTAATTCTCTCACTGTGTAAAGATACTACAGGAGTTTTTCCTTTAAGACAGAAAGGTATGGGATGAATGTTTAAACACCTGGCACACAAAAACCCAGAGGAAATGTTATTTGATAAAACCTAGATTTAAATTTGGAAAACCCTTTAATGAGAGCTTCATTAAACATTGGTTTTCTTCTGCCCCTAGGTCCTTCCAAAGATGACATCCCATATTGTAAATGAAATAGATAATATTCTGGGAAATAAGCCCTACAGCAAGAAGGACTACAGATCGTAACGCGGTGCATGACTTCCCTGGACTGCATGGTTCAAAACCTGCTCTGTACAGACGTACAGCCCCGAGTTCCTATCCGGCCATGAGAATCATTCAGCAGCTTGCTGCTCGGTGTCTGCTGTCACTGGGTCCTTCGAGACGTGTGCTCTTGCTACTAACCTGCAGTGAAATCTAAAAGCACAGTTGATCTCTCTTCTAGCCGAGGATACTCTCGTATTTTCTTACCTTCGACTGAATCCAGTAATTTTTACGTTACTCTTAGCACCTCATGCTTGTGCTGTGACAAACACATGTGAAGCAAAAAATGATTTATAACCTTCAGGTACTTGGTAATTAAAGAAGGGTGTACAGATCTATTTTTTCAATGAAGAAAAGCCAGATACAACTTAAGGTTTTAATAAAACCACGTTGGGGAATCTCAACCATAAAGTTTCTTCAGGTTAACAGATAGAAGGGGCAAGCTAAAACTTTCCGGTTTCTTTTTTTATGCTGAATATATGCTTTAGATTTTGTTTGTAGTTGAATGAAGAACGTCAGACAGAGAATTAGTTAGAAATTAGATAGCTCAGCTCCTAACTACACCATTATTTCAGCTGTGGAGTGCTCCTGGGAAGTATTTCTGAGTACGAGCCAGAAGAGCACAGTTAGCAAATCCAAACACGCATGTCAGGTCAATAAAAATAACGGCTGTTTGCAAAACTCTCATTCTACAGAAACCTTAAACCAAGAAAGCCATGATAAAATATTGGGGTTTGCACCTAGAGAAACCTGCCTCTACTTCTGCCTGCTTGTAGACATAGCTACTGCAAATTTCAATATTCATGAGCTTCTAAGGATATAGATACTTATAAATATATATAATGTATAGCTGCTGAAAAATACCAGAAAAAAATCAGGTACGTACTTTGGTGGAGGGCTACATCTGCTTTAACATGTTCTGGAATTGGGCATAAGGAACCGTGTAGTATTTTTAAGATGCATTTTAAACAGGTAGGGGTTTTTGTGAGCATTTCATCCTTCCACGGGAGCTGTTGATAGTAAGCTCTCAGGAATTAATTTGCCCATCTGAAGAGCCACGCCATCTTTTACCTCCAGTTTGCTTTGTAAAACGCACCTCTGATCTCAGTCAGCGTTCCTCACTCGTATCGAATCGCGTCCTTGGGGTGCATCCTTCCGAGGGGTGCAGCTCTGTACAGCAGCCGGAGAGCCCTTGTGTCCTCGTCCCCTCAACCCCAGGGTGTCTGCAGAGCATTCAGGGGGCCACGGGCACAGACCCCAGTCCTTGAGTTGTCTTCTCCTGTATGTAACCCGGTGAGCTCTGGTGTGTGTGAACGACCTCCGCCGCTGTATATCCAGAGACGCACTCTGACTGTGACTTCTGCTTGGACACAATAAAAGCATTTTGTGCATCTCACTTTATACTTGGAGACCTGTTACTGAGAGCGAGGCTGATTTTGAAACAGCAGCGGTTTATGTTGAATACGTATCGTTCCACAGGGAAACGGGCATCTTCAGCAGTGCGCAGGTCGGGCACGGGACGGTGACCTCAGGACAGAGGAGGGGGCACAGCCAGGAGCATCTCGGAGAAGGTACCTGTAGAAGTTAAGTTCCCTAAGGCAGACGTCAGTCATATATAACATTTTTCCCTGAACTAAACACAACGTGAATGTCCTCTGGACAGTTCACCGAAATCCCCCTGCGG